TTTCCAATTAATGAACATGAAGTAACTTCCCTTTTATTTGCGTGTTAACTTTCTCCACTCAGTGTCGCAGTCATGAGTAGAATGTTACATTGATTCCCAGGTATTCATTGGTTTTGCTGCTATTGTACTTCTCTATCGGAAAACTAGCATCGGGGTCGGAAGTGTTCCTGACTGTGCGGTGATTTTCTGTCCTACAGCTGACTGAATCGAGCAGGTTTTGGTGTAGCCTTCAGGATTTTCTCTATCTGGAATCATGTTATCTGCCAATAACCTCCCCGGTCTGAGACCGTTTCCTTCTGTTCCCCTCGCCTAATCGCTCTGCCCGGATGAGGACCTGCGGTGTCCGTGGCGCATGACTGGCGAGGGCGGGCTGGCTCCTGGCCGGCCCCGCAGCTGGGGGGGGGCCTGCGGCCGTCCCCGCGGTAGGACGGGCTCAGCTGCCCTGTCCTGCCTTACGACAGGTTCCTCCTTACCCACCTTTGAAAGATTTATTGTAAGTGGATGTTGACTTTTGTGAACATTTCCTCTGCACGGATGGTGTTGGCGCCATGTTCTTCCTCTTCCCCCTTCTGCTAATTACTTAAACTTGGTGGCCTTTTTATCAGGCTCCGATGTGCCTTCGGCATGTCAAGAACGTGGCTGTCGCTGCAGTACTGGCGATTCCCGCCGTCCCCAGGGGTGGCTCACGGGCCGAAGCCCAGAGCAGCTTGTGGCTTGACGAGCGGGCGGCCTGGGCGAGCCCCGTGCCCGCCGTCTGCTCTCTAGCCTGCCCGTCTAGCGCCGCTCCCCGCGTGACAGCTCCTTGCTGCTGTGTGAACCTCCCGTGTCCGGTGGGGGTCTGGGCGTCCTGTTCAGTGGGGGGGACGGTGGGTCACCTGTGAGCTCTCGGGTGTGGTCCTGGGAAGGGACGGGCCTGGAGCCCAGGGGCGGGAGACGGGAAACACTGACCACGTTTTCTGGTGGGAGCCTCGCCATGGCCTTGGGCCGCTCTGTCAGACAGAGGAGGCTTCAGGGCGTGAGATTAGCCCACCCTCCCCCCTCGCGCGGCCCAGCCCAGAGCAGGTGCTTCTTGGGACTGTTGTTTCTCTCAAGGCTCAGCCAGAGCCGCCCAGGGAAAGGGCTGGCCCGCCGCCCGCCAGCCCCAGCAGCTCGGCCCGGATTTCTTGATTAACGGGACCATTTTGTGGAAGGAATAAAGCAAACGCCCGGCGACCGGCTCCAAACCTGGGCTCAGTGCATCTGGGTGGGCTGATTTCCTCCTCGTGCGGCCTGGGGGACAGGCCCCTCTGTGTGACGGCTGTGCGCCGCGTCTGGGTGGACGGACGCCCCACGTCTGTTGGAAATAAGAGTTGGTTAGAGTGCAGTGTCACCTTGACTAGAGGAGCGCCTTTTGCAGCAGCACACAGGGGAGGCCCCAGGAACGCGTGTGAGGAGAGCGAGGAGAGCGGCTGCCTTCCCGCTCGACCAGCCTGACCTGTGTGAGAAATGGCTGGGGGGAGGCGGGTGGCTTAGGGGAACAAAAGGACCTTTGTTCTTTGACTGAAGAATGTGGGTGGGACAGAGATGCTGTGTAGCTGCTGCTAATTCTCTTCTGAGCACCCTAGTGAGGGTTTTCTCACCACCCCAATAGCTGGAGAGTGTCTGGGGGGTGGGGGCGCAGCGGGACAAGACTGGGTGAGGTGCATGTCCACACCCCCGCGCTGTCCCTGAGCCACCCTGGCCTGGCCAGCGAAACGGCCTGGCGCCTGGGTGGGCACGGCAGCCCTTTCCTCTCTGAGGCTGAGAGGCCCTGGAGTAGGCTCCGCTGAGACTCCGGGCAGGAGGGGTGCTGCGCGTCTGAGGAAGCAGCACTTGCAGGGGCGGCCAGGGCCTCAGGGACGGGCTCTCAGGTCAGTGGGAGGGAGCGCGAGGCTCCCAGAGAAGCGAGCTATGGACCTGCCCACCCTGCATGGGCACTGCCCCCGGTGCTGTGGCTGCTTCTTGTCACCTTCTGTTTGCGGAGAGTGGAGCAAGCTGTCAGCCCTGCAGCTCCAGGTCACCCGTCTGTCCGTCCGTCCGTCCGTCCGTGTGGTCCTGCACTTAGGGAAGATTTTCAGCCAAGTCAGTTCGGGGTGAGCAGAGAGACCACGGGGGAAAGCGATTTCCTTGCCCACTCAGGGAGGGCATGCGATGGGAGGACACTGTGGGGCTTGCATGGACCTGGCTGGATGAGGGTGTCAGCCTGTGCCTGGCCCTCAGGGAAGAGGAAGGTGGGTGCTGACTGGACGGTTGGCCTCCCACTCCCTGAAGCCATGTGTGCCGGATGGGGACACCCCCCTCAGCCTGCTGCCCCCCCCGGCCGCCCCCACTCCTGGGCCTGAACTGCCTGCCTTCCTGACCAGCAGGAAGAGAATCTTCTTGGAGGCGGGTGGACGGTAGAGGTCACAGGAAGCTGAGATTCTGAACTTGGCCCGAGGGCTGCCATCTGGGGTGGGTCCGCGAAAGGGACAGGACATGGGCTTCGCGTTGGCAGAGGCGCTACCACCCCACCCTACTTTCATTGCTGTACTTGCAGAGGGAACAGGCTGGAAAGGAGGCTGCGGGGGGAGCTCTGTGAATAGGGAGCTGACGGACACCCATCAAGTAGGGACTCTGCTGACGAGTGGTGACCGCGAGGTGGGCGGTGGGTGAACTGGGACAATGGCATGAAGGGCGGAACTGGACGTTCAGTCCAGACACTTGTGGATTCTTTTTTTTTTTTTAAAGATTTATTTATTTATTTATACAAGCACTGGGTACAGTCAGAAGCGCGGGAGGGTGAGAGAATTCACCAGAGCCAGAGCGGGGAGCAGAGCAGGCGGAAGGACCGAAACACACTGCTGAGGGGACCAGCGGGCGGCAGGAGAGGTCTGCGCGCCATGTGGGACCCTCACCGGTGGCCGGGGATCGAACCAGGGCTGCAGATGCTGCGGGCAGCTTCGCAACCCAGCGCTCAACCGCTGTGCCACCGGGGAGGCCCACTTGTGGATTCTTAATGACCCCTGAATCCAGAGTGATGTGATGCCGGAGTACAGTGTCGTGTGTACAGCCAAGTATCTAGACTGTCCAGCCAGAGCACAGCCGGCCTTATCTGGACCTCACTGGAGATGCAGCTGGACACTGAGGGTCTCCATGAGGTGTGAACCTGGCCCCCGAGGCATCTATGGTGTCTTGAGCACATGTTTCCTCCCTAAAGGGGCAAGAATGTGACCTCCCGGGTGTCCCTGAAGAGCTATTTCTTCTCATCCCCATTTGCCTCATGGAGTTGGCAGCAACTCGGCAGTGAACAAACTCAGCGAGCTCACACTTCGAGTGCATTAAATAAATATAAATTTTATTAAAAACACTCACAGCGCATTATCAGGAATGATATAATAAACGCTTTCAGATAAGCTGCATTGGTAACATTACAGTATTTACAGTATTTATAACTGTCCTCATACTTTAGAGAAACCACACATCTCATGAAAATGAAATGAAAGTAAGTTAAAAACAACAAAGGCATAGAAAAAAATGCACACAGAGTCCATTACCTTAGTGTCACACTGCAAATCTCCGACACGAGTCAGCCGCCGGCTCCGGGGGCGCACGTGGCTGTGGTCAGTCGGGGCAGAAAATTCATTCAAGTAAAGTTGACACTACTCAGAAGCGTTTTCAAGTATGGCTATAGAGTCCACCTGATATTCCTACAGAAGCAAGCTGCAGAGCGGCTTTCATTCATCCTGGCTGAGGCGGGTCAGATATGTACAGTCGCGGAGCTGATGTTGACAGTATGCACTCGGCTTCTCCTCCCGCCCTCGGCGCCGGCCCTGGCTGGCCGGCAGTTTGACAAATGACAGCGGATGAGACAGAGACCAGATATTCAGAGGACGGACGGGCCGGCTCGAAGCCAACGAAGGAGTGTGTGGCAACCAGCGATGTGGGGATTGACATGTGGAAAACCTACGATCCTGTGGCTGGATGTCCACAGAGGTTTGGGAAATGTTGGTAAATTGGACATAGCCAAAAACTAGAGAATTTTTTTCAAAAGACCAAAGCCATCTGATCAGACTCGACCAATAAAACTCAGAGGTCTCCTCTGGTTAAGGATCAATTTGAAGTGTCAGCCAAACTGCCCTGAGAGCACGACGTCTCCGCAGCCGACGGCCCGCCTCGGGCCTAGCGGTTTTGCCGCCGGGGCGGCCCTCGCGGCGCGGCCCTCCCAGGTCTGTCCTCCTAGTGGCCACGCTGAAGGCAGGAGGAACCCGTCTTCATCTGGAGCGGTCACTTGTCAAACTCCTGCCACACAAGTTTCCCTATGTATCAACTCAGTGCAATCTATTTTTAATTTTTGTTCCTGCTTGAAAGACTCAACACCTTTTAAAATGCCTTTCTTTACAATAGTCAACTGATTTACAAAATTAGTTTTAGTTACATCAGGGCATCTACAAGTAAAACAGGAGGGATTCAAAACAGTAGGGTTAAATCCCTGAAAAAGATAAAATTTTTATCAACCTACGACAATTTTACATACACACAGGTGATGAAATGTTGGCATAAGGAGAACATGAGCTGAAATATCCCTGAATTTTTAGAACAAAAAGGTTAAAGTTCAAGTTATACTTGCTGGGAAATCAAGTATTGAAAAAAAGGATGCTTTTTTAATAATAATAAAAATAACAATAAAAACAGACTTGGAAAGGATGATGGTACACAATGCTCTAAGCGTTCCCTCTCAGTCCCACGTCCCGCTGCCACACTAGTGTTGAGGTACATGACAAGGAGGGGCACTGCTCCGGGCGAAGGGCTCCCCGCTCACATCAGGGTCTGTCTGCAGCAGGCTGAGTAGCACCATCGTGATGTGAATATGATTCAAATCTATATATATATGTATAGATTTATTTTTTTTTTTACAGTACTAAAAATACTAAAGCATTGCATTAAAAAAGTTTTGTTTACAATTTAATTTACTGACTATACATCTCTTTCATATTTTTATACAGATGAATGATTTAAAACCACCACAGCAAACCAGCTGCCTGTTTCTCCTTTATTTTTCTTGAACAGATTCATGTGGAACTAACCCTGTTTATGCACCTGACGCAGGCTTCCGGCTGCCCAGTCTTCCTGGTAAAGAGGACACTTAGCGCTAAGAAATGACAGCATCACAATGCACAATTCATAGCACACAGGCAGACGGCGGCCGCTGCTCTGAGGTCCGCCGGGGCCCAGACCACAGCGTGGGCGCGGCCCCGAGGGCTGCTGAGCCTGGAGCGTGTGGTGAACAGGCGTTTCTTAAGACTCTACTTGCTTGAGCAATGGACTTGTCCCACAGTCCTGTAGGAGACTGTTTTACAGTACAGAATGTGAGATGAGCACCAAAGAACCTATGTTTCGTGGACTAACACATCCCCCCAAATCCAGTAAGCCCCACTTTGGATTGAACTGGCTGGATTAAAAATGGACACACTGCTCATCAGCAGAGGCCTGCGAACAGCAAAAATAGTTTAAAAGCTTTCCTCATTTCCTTAAAAAAGTCCCCTTTGCCTTCTAAAATGAAAGTAAACTTTGTTTTTAATGTCTCAGTACCTTAGCATTGTTCAAGTTGTCAAAGCTTAGGTAGACAAAGTGCTTCTAGACACCATTTAAAACATTTATACATACTCTGTGTGCACATATACATACGTGTATATATGTACATATGTACGTTTATTGTCCCACAAGGACGTCGGGGGATGAACCCAGAGGTTTCTAAAATGTCCACGTTTTAAAAAGTGAGTTTTGCAGGAAGTTAATCATGATAAAAACTCAGCGAGGAGTCGCCCCGAGGATGCGAGGGCGGCCCCCACTCAAGTGTCTCCATGACAGAAAGGCATCCAATGTTAGCTCCGAAAGACACCAATTTCTTAGCACCATTTCCTAGAACGCCAGAACCCACGCCGCGTTCTGCTGTCTGTCCGCTTCCGCTTCCTGCAGCTACCGTGAGAAACGCGAGACGAGGACGACAGTGAGAACTGCAGGGTGAAAGTCCCGATTCCAGTCCTCAGCACCAGACGGAGGGAGTCGCGGGCTCGGTCCCGGGCCGCGCAGCACTGGCGCGGGGCCCCAGGGGCTGGGAAGGACCGGTCCCCTCTCCTCCCGGGGGGCGGGGGGGGGCGCGGGCGCGCGCAGGGGCCGCCCCCGTTGGCACAGCCGGCCTTCGGGCGCCCCCGCCCCCGCGTGCCCGGGGCGCGTCAGATGTACCTGCTGTAGGGCCCGGTGACCCGCGTGAAGGCGTAGGGGGCCGTGGTCACGGTGGACTGCGTGGTCAGCGACACGGTCCTCTCGGCCAGCGAGCGGATGAAGCGCAGGCAGGTGGGCTGCGCGGCGTCGTGCGGCTCGGCGGGCTCGCGCTTGGGCCGGCGGCCGTGGCCGTGGCCGTGGCCGTGGCCGCGGGCGGGCGCGTGCTCGGGCCCGTGGCGCTCGCCCTCCTCCTCCTTCTCGCGGGCCTTCTCGGCCATCTTGGCCTCCCAGAGCGCCAGGCCGTGCTTGGGCTCGTTCATGCTCTTGTGCTGGTAGAAGACCAGCGAGATGCGCGTGGGGTGGTTGCGGTTGGGGTTCTTGAGCGGGGTGGTGGCGTGCAGCTCGCGCTTGGCGCACTCGATGAGGATGGAGCCGTGGGCGGGCGCCACGGCCACGCCGCCGATGTCGGGGTCCAGGAAGCTCTGCTCGCTGTCGGACCACACGTCGTCCTTGTCCTCGGCCGCGGGCGGCGGCTTCTCCGGCCGGCCCGCCTCCGGGGGCTTGGGCGGGCCCTCGGGGGCCAGCAGCTTGGAGAGCCCGTGGGCGGCGTGCGCCAGCAGCTCGTTCTCGGGGCGCGGCAGGCGCAGGCCGCCCAGGGAGCCGCCGAACAGGCCGCCGGGCGCGTAGTTGTGGAGGAGGTGGGCGGGGGGGTGGTGCTCCCCGTTCTTGTAGTCCAGGCCGGGGTGGCGCCAGCCGGGCGGCAGCCCGGAGGGGGCGCCCACGAAGCGGCCCTCCAGCTCGGCGCCGGCGTAGGGCGGGAAGGGCCCCACGGCGTGCGCGCCGGGCCTGAGCGCGCAGCCCCTGAAGGCGTCGGCCGGCAGGCGCTCGTGCCCGTACCCCAGGTACTTGGAGGGGAAGGTCTGGCTGCCGGCGAAGCGCGGCTGGTAGAGCGTGTGGATGGGCGGGAGGCTGAGCTTGGCGAGGGCGTCCGGGCCGGGGCACCTGTAGAGGTCCACGGGCTGGGGCGGGGCGGCGTAGGCGCCCAGGTACTGCGCGCAGGCGTCCACCGACACGCCGCCGTTGCACGGGTAGGCCGGGTACTGGCGGTTCTGAGTCAGGAGCCCGGGGTAGGGGTTCATGGGGCTCGACGAACTCAAATAGGGCCCCGGGGCCTGAGACGCGGCGGGGTAGAGCTCCCCGGGGGGGGCGCCCCCATACAGCTCCGCAGCGTGCGCGGAGCCGGGGTAGGGGCTCGCCGGGGCGGCCCGTCTCACGCACAGGCCGGCGGGCCCCGGGGAGGGGTACGAGCCGGCGGGCTCGCGAGTGCGCGGGAGGGAGGGGTGCGGCTGCGCGGGGGGCGGGGGCTCCTGGGGCGGCTGGGGCTGGGGCGGCGGCTGCGGGGGCTGCTGGGCTGGCGGCATGACTGGTCCCGAAAGTCGCAACAGCTCTGTGGACAGGACGAGAGAGCGGGGACAAGCACGCTTGGTTAGTACTCGTGAAGGCCCGCGGGGGGCTGCCCGGCACCCCCGGCTGAGCCAGACCCCACGCGAGGCCACGGCGGCGGCCGGCTCCGGCCACTGCCCGCGGCGCCACGGCAGCCCGGGCCCGGCACCGCCGGGGAGGCGAGCACGCGCGCCCTGGCGCCCACGGCCCCCCCGAGCGCCGAGGCCCCGCGCGCCTCTTGCGCGGCGAGGACGGGCCTTGGCCGCCCCTTGGCGTGCCCGCCGGGTCCCGTCTGCCCTGTAGGGCGCGGCGCGCGCCTGTGAGGGGCCCCCGGGCGGCGGGCAGTGCTCGGGGGCGCCGGCGCGCCGAGGGGAGGCACTGAGCCGCTCACGCGCCCCAGCATCTTGGTAACCTGCCGCCCGCCCCACAGCGCGCTCCCGAAGGCAAACTGATCCCGAGCCGGGGACAGGCTGGGGAAACTGTCAGCTTCTCAAGCGCAACCTTCAACAGCCAGGCTGTTTTGCGGGTGTCCTTAAGACAGGAATGTGAAGTGCGATCCAGTAAACGGAGCTGCAGGTGGGGCTGAGAACCGAAGGGGCCCAGCGGCCAGGAAGGGGGGGCGCGCCCGGCTCCAGCTGCTCCCGCGGCCCTCCCGGGAGGCGGAGGAGCGCCTGCAGCGGGCGTGGGGCTCACTCGGGCCTTCTGAGCTTGTGCGCAAGGACGGCTGTTTCCAAGCAGACTGACTGACACGCTTTCCTCGGGGGAACAGCCGGGCCGACACCGCCTCACGCTGGGGTCTGGACACCCCATGCTCGGAAGGGGCTTTTGCGGCTCCACTGCAGACAAAAGGCAGGGAGCCCCGGAGGGACCAGCAGCGCGCCAGCCGGCCCGGGCTGCGCAGCTGGGTCTGTTTGGTGGGGGCGGTGCCAGGAGACACCCCCGACCCCTCATACACACACACCGGGGACCCGCCCCCTGCACGGCAAGAGAGCCTCCCTTCCTGCCCTCTGGACCCCCTGCAGCCCGGCTTCACAGCCCTGATCTCAAACAATCCTGCTTTCTTACCCGGGCTTCCAACTTCGGGTCGTGCTGGAATGTTCCTTCCCCTTCCCGCCCGTGTTTGGGGTCTGCGCTTGGAAAGACCGTACCGCGTCGCCTGTGCTGCTGTCTTCGTGCTACCGCCAAATTCGAGCTCTCGGTTTACTTGCTTTCAGTTTTGCTTTATTATTATTACTTTTTTAAAGTTCATCACATCCACCTCTATTCTTAGTGGCCTCTTTCCCTGCGCTCTGGCCTACCTGTCCCCACTGGGTCAGGCCCGGGTCCCGGGACCGCTGCCCGGCCGCCCGCTGCTGCGCCTCAGAGCACCGGCTTCTCCGCGCGCGGGCGCGGCGGGACGGGCTGCCCCCGCCGGCTCCGGGGCGAAGCAGGCCTGGCCGCTGGAAAGTGGACTCTGGGACAGAACTAAGACCGCAGCTGGAAGCAGCCCGAGTTCAAAATGCTCGCGCTGAATAGCGCAGGACCGCGCGGCCCGCCGCCCCGGCGCCTCGCCCCGAAGTTACCTGCCAACTGCTTGGCCTGGCCGGCGCCGTCCGGCGGCTTGGCCCGGGCCGCGGCCGACTTCTCCTTCTCGCTCTTGCTGCTCTCCAGGGACGACAGCTTTTCAGCCGCAGCCTTCCTGGCTTCCAGTTTCCGCTGGCGGCAGGTCTTGACCGGTTCTGCCAACATCCGGACTTTGCGCCGGAAAGAACTGAGCACCTGGATGGCGCCGCTGCGCTTCTTCGCCTCCTGCGCCTCCGCGCTCCCGAACTCGTCCACGTCCGAGACCTTGTAGAGAGGCAGGACGTGGAGCTGCTCGTCCTCCGGGGTCCCTCGGATCTCGCGATTGTCCTCTCTGGTGAGGGTGCACACCTGGGGAGGAGCGGCCGCGGGTCAGCCCCGGAGGCACGCGCGCCGCCCCCTCCCGCGACGTCGCGCCTGTGGCGGCCTGTCCTGTGCGCGCTGCGCTCCCCGGACCCACGTGGCCCAGCACCCCCGCCGGGACGAAGCCGTCCTGTGCTGTCACCCCTGGGGCACAGGTGAGACCTGGGCGGGCCCCGCCCAGAACCAGCGCCGCCTCCGCCCAAGGGGCCGCCGCTGGCCTCCGGGACGGCTGTGCAGGCTGCTCGGCTCCCCGGCTCCCTTGCGCACCCCCAACTCGCCTTTGCCGCCTGCACGATGCCCCCCGGGTGCAGAGTGGAGGCCAAGTCCTGGGGACGGGAGAGGACAGCGTGGTGGCCGCCTCTGCGCTCTGCTTCCCTCCTGGCGCCTCCCTGCGGCGCCACTGCCCAGACGGGGCGCTCTGGGAGGACAGAGACCCCACTTCTGGCCTTTGCTAAGGATCCTCTGCTCCTTTTGTTGCCCACAAGCAGGCGGGCTTTGAGGAAAGACTGCTGGCTAGTTTTCAGTGTTTGGTTTTCTCGGTGAATGGAAAACCATGCGAACCATGGCTGGTGAAGACACAGGTCACAGAGAACCCGTGCAAGAGCCTCCCGGGAGGATCTGCGGGAACAGACTCACCCGGGAGGTGGGTAGCAGGAGATGGCCTTGGAGTGACGCTTTCCCTTTCCATGGGGGAAAGTCTGCCAGGCCTGGTCCCCTTCCCTGGGTGCCCGTCCCTTCCCCGCACAGACCTGGGTCCTGCAGCCCCTCAGCCTGCGCTGAAGGGGTGTCCTCAGCTCTCTCCCCCTCCCACGCCCCAGAAGGAGCAGGCGCTCGGTGGGTGCAGACAGCGGAGCACGAGCTCCTGCTGGTTTCCCTGGGCCAGAGCCCAGCCGTCTCCGGCCGCGGCCAGCCAGCCTGCCTGTTCTTCAGTGGTTTTCACTTTTAAAGGATGGTTTTACTAGAACGCAAAGAGAAGAAGGTGGCAGAGACCCAGCCTATGCAGCCTGCACAGCCTCAGAGCCTCACCCTCTTTACTTTACTAGACGTTTCCCGGCCCCAGCCCCTTCCCACTACCGCTGGCCACCTCTGTGACACCCCCCTTCCCCCGTGAGCTGCAACCTGAATGGCCTCCTCCTCCTCCTCAGCCTTGAGGTCACCGGCCTTCGTCATGCCCGTGTCTGAGGGTGGAGGTTTCTGCACTTGACCTTTGCTGCAGTTAGTCCCCGCTCAGGAAGTGCCCTCGACACACAGGGCCGCCCCAGGGAGCAGCACCCCTCCTCTTTCCTAGGACAGACATGACCCTCCCCAGCTCCGTCTCACCCCAGTGCCAGTTATCACCAGCTCCCTGAACACACTAAGGGGGTTACTGTGGCAATGGTACACGTCTGTCGCTTACCCGTCTCTCTTCGAGGCGGGTTACTGCCCTGGCCCTGGCGTGCCTTTATACTTAACCGATCGCAGCCTGCCAGACCCTGATCCCTCCGGCCACCGGCGGCTGGCACGCTCCCCACTGGCTGACAGCAGCACCAACAAGCTCCAGATTGTGCAGCTGTGCCACCCTCTGGGGAGAGCGCCACCTGCCGAGGAAGGAGGCTTCCGAGGACTGACCCTCTCGCCGTGCTGCCCCAGCCCCCACCTGGCCCCCCGCTCACCAGCGTGCTACCGTTCTGCATGTTGTGCAGGTCCCTGTGGGCGTGGGCACAGAAGTCCAGGCAGGCGGTGACCCCTGAAAAGGGACGGCCTTCCTTCAGCCCCAGCCGGCACTCCAGTGCTCTGTGCTCATATTCGATCTGAAAAACACCGCATGTGGGTTAGTGTGACAGAACCCGGGTCCCACACGGTGCCACCACCTGTCCACACCAGGTTGGCCAGGCTCCTCGGGACACCAGCTCTGTAGAACTTGAAGAAATGTTTCATGCCCAGAGACATGATGCGATGACACAGAGAGGGGCCCTGACGTGGTAAGACGTGACAGGGGTTCAGTTGTGACTCACAGGCCACTGTGCGCAGGAGTCGCCCCAGGCAGCATCTGCCTATGACACAAGAGCCACTGCCCATCAGCCCGAGGTGGGGCCGCCTTCTGGCCGTGCCCACCCCCGCGCGGGACTCCGGGTGCCCCAGGCTGTCTGCCTCTCGCAGGGCTTCGTGTGGGTAGCTCACCCTGAGGTGAAGAGAGTCAAGGTGGATAATTTCCATTTCTGTCAGAGCAGACTGTGTTATGACTAGGGAAGGAAGATTTCCAGGGGGTCTTCGGATTGTGTTTTTTAAAAATTTATTTGACGATTCCAGGTCCTTCGTCTTTCTCCATTGTTAGAATCAACGCGGCATTTTCGTCAAACCCCTGGTGAGGTTTCGGTAGCTCAGGTGTTGAGTCCATTCATTCACTGAGGGGAACTGGTCTCTTCACGGCTGCCACTGCAATCCCTTGACATGGTCTCTGCAGTCACTTGTCTTTGTAACGTCTCCCAGCAGCGTTCTGGGGTCTCATTTGCACAAGCCCTGCATATTTTTGTCAAATGTATGCCAAGGAATTTCATATTTTTTCATGCTATTTTACATGCTATTGGTTTTCATTCTAGTTTTTGTTTATTGCTAATTGCAAAACTACGATCGCTATCTGTATTTTGTTAAACCGTTTATTAGTCCTACAAGTCTTTTGTAGATTCTTTGGGACTTACTATGCAGATGGGCGTGTCATCTGCAAACAAGACAGCTTGACTTCTTATCCAGCTCATGTGCTTTCTCCTTTCTCTCATCTGGTGCACTAAAACTTCTAGTTACATGTTGAATAGACGGGGCGAGGATCAGCCCCCTTGTCTTGTTCCAGTCTTTCTCCATTAAGTATGCTGTTGGCTGTAGTTTTCTTTATCCATGTTCTTTATCAGGCTGAGGAAGTTCCTATCTACAGATGTGACATTCTTTAAAATGACTTTAATGAGCCCGGAATTAGTGAAATAAGCCCATGTGGCTATGATGTTTTAGTTAGATGTTATCTGTTTTACACATTGTTGGATCTAATTCACTAAAATTTTCTTGAGAATTTTGGTATCCGTTCTCATGAAGAACACTGGACTGCCGCTGCGCCACGGGGGAGGCCCCTGTCCTTTGCCTTTTAACCTATTTATGGCTTCATATTTAAAGTGTCTTTTTTGGTGGTTGTTTTAATATCACAATTATTCAGTATCATTGTATTATTCAATGTCACAAGCCTCTACCTTTTTATCGAGGATGCTAAAATCATTTATGTTTAAACATGGCTATAGGTAAGGTTGGGTTTAAATACACCCTAGTGACATTTGTTTTATATTACCTTTTTTTGCTCCACATTCTTTTAAAAAAATCTCTTCTGGATTGATTTTCTTCTCATCTCTTTATTGGTAGACTAAACTCTATACAATTTTTAGTGGCCACTGGCCCTCACAACAGCATATTTACAACCTGCCATTTTCTGTGCTTTTTCAGGTTACAAACTTGAAAGTATATTGTTAATATGTACATCAAGTAGCAAATTCTCTTTTAAAGAATTGTTTAAAATAAGAGAAAATGGCCTTTTCTCACATTTACCACTTAGGATGTTTTCATTTTCGTTTTCTTTCTACTGGTGGGTTTGAACATTTTCGAAGTGTTAACCTGCTGGTGGTGACCTAGCTCAGCTTTGCAAAGTCTGAAAAAAAAAAATGCTCACTCACCTTGTCTTTTAAGAATTGCTTGGATTGGTTGTAGATTTTTAGGTTACTTTTATTTCCCCTCTGGTACTTTAAAGATGTCTTGCCTCTGTCTTACACTTTCCTGACACCAAGTTTCCTGTTGGTGTCATTTTGCCACTGTATGAAAGAAGTCTGTTGTCTTCATTTACTTGTCACATTTCCTCTCTATCGCTCATTCTAGGCAAGGTAACCGTGACGTGCCTTTTTGTAATTTCCTCATGTGTGCCCGACCCCGCCAGCCCCACTGTTTGGGGCTTGCAGAGTTGCTGAGCTTTGAGCTTCAAGAGCTTAAACTTTTGAAACATTTGAAAAACATTCTGTCCATTATGGAAATATTCTTTCACAATTTTTTTGTCCACTTTCCTGGGAATCGCACCACATATATTAGCATGTTCATATGGAAACCTTGCTCCACGCGTCTGTGACCAGGCCTTCAACTCTGGAAACTATTGCGGTGTACTCGGGTCCACCCACCTTCTGTCAGTTCCCCCTCGCCTACACTCTATCTCTCCATTAGATATTTTCATCTCTAAGAGCTCAGTGCAGGTCTTCCGATAGCTTCTTAGCTTTATCGTGCTCATGCTCCTTCATCTTCTTGAACAAAGAGTGAATGTGTTACGATAAATGTCCTTATACACACACTGTTCTCACATGTCACTTTCATTTCTGATGAAACTGTGGGTCTTATTTTTGCTGCTGTCTCTCTGTAGGCCTGGTGAGTGGTGATGGCATGCTAGACATTGGAAATCTGACCTTGTTGGTAGATTGTAAAACATGTTCTGCTATGTGTCTAAGTTACTGGAAATAGGCTTGATGCTTTCAGGTCTTAATTGTGAGCATTTTTAGGTGGAACCAGAACAGCCTACTGGGTCACACAACCTCGGCCTCGGGATTCTGAAGTCTCCTTGGTCGCTTGGGTGTTGAGAAGTCCTTTCTTCCAGATGGTAGCAAGGAGAAGCACCGCAGCGCCGAGACATGGAGGGATTGCTCCGTCTGTGCCCTTGGCACTCTCCTCCCGCACGGTCTTCATCATGCAGCAGAATCAATAGCTCTTGATGAAGAGTCCTCTCCTCTTGTGTTCCTTAGATCCTGGCAGGGATGACCCTGGGGTCTGTGTGGATGCCTCCTCTCTGCCCTGGACTTTAAAAGCACTTAGGTAGTGAGCTGGGGAATCACAGCTTTATCTTTGCTGTTTCTCTCTTCTGGTGTTACTATCTTGTACTCCTTATTGTTCTATCTAAAAACTATTTTTCACATATATATGAGACGGTCCACATGTATACATAAGTAAATACAGGCCTAGAAGCTGAGCCGATACCATGATAAACTTTTTGATGGTCTGCATACAGTATTTACTCCCAGGTTCACGCCTTTCTGTTGTACCTGACAAGACCCTGGTCAAAAGAAAGTGAGGGTCTTGCCTAGCTTATTTCATAGCTGTGTGGTTTGTGACTGTGGTTTGAGCTGTGGTCTGGTTAGCTCCATTCTGTTCCCTTACTAGAATCATATTCAAAGTCATTGGGTGTTTAGACTCTTGCCATCTCATGAGACATACCATGCAGGATTTGTGAATAGTTCCTAGAAATTCCTCTCCCATTGCTGGAAGACAGTTGTAAGACCAGGTAACCATGGTTTTCTGATGACCTTGTGCCTTGCTGGTGGCCGCGGACCACAAGGGGCTATTTACATTTACAGTAATTGAAGTTAAAATCCACGAGCTCAGTTGCTCTAGGCCACACCAAGGCTCGGCCAGTATGATGAGTGGTCATCAGCTAAACAGCACTCACAAACAACTCCCCTTGTGCAGAGGACACTCTTGGACAGCACTGGTCTAACGTGTCCTTCCCACATGGGGTGAAAGCACGAGATTGAGATCTGAACCTGCTGTTCAGGCCCAGAACTTAATGGTGAGACAACCACAGAATGGAGCAAATAGGTGTGCTGGATTGAAAGAATATGTAAATTGAGAAAACCTTTGCTGTAATTCCATAGACCCAATGGAGTTTAACTTTATAACTATGAAATCAAGGAGGACAGCAAGGAAGAACATTCTCATGTGAGAAATAAGAACACTTGGAGAGATGACATAGACCAAATGGTAGGTTTTAGGACAGCAGCCAGTCTCCTTGGTCTTCCCATATAATGTGTGGAATGCTCAGGTAGGCCGACTGGCTCTCTAGGCCACATTAAGACACACACACACACGTCATGGCAGACAGGGCTTACTGCATGATCTAGAAAACACTGTCCTTTCACAGCCATTCCTTGATTTCATTTAAGCATTGCATCTTTTTCATGTACTGTGGTGGAGCAGGCAAGCGAAGCTTGCCCTTAACCCCAGCACATGCCCTGTGGCTGCTGCAGCCTCCCAGCCCCACAGAGACCTCCTAAGCGAGTGCCCCGCCCCCCGTTGCTACCACCACCCCACTGACTAGTATCCCCTCACAGCAGTGGGTCATGAACAGTGGACTAATGCTAAAGAATGATGCCGAATCCTCTTATTACAACTTAAACAGCTTATAGTGTCTTCAAAATTTGGAACTGCAGACTGAGAAATGCACAAAATATTCCAAAATGTAACAGGGTCGAATATGAATACTTAGAAAATCACGTGTTAGAGAGTGTAATTAAAAATCAAAGCAGTAAAAAGCACACCAATGCTTTGTTAGTCCGCTCCTTTTCCCAGCTAGTCATTTGATTAATAGCACCTATAAAATGACGAATCTGGCAAAAAATAGCCAAACCTCAGATGTAGTAACATAGGCTGAATTCATCTCCTTTTTATTGTTTGATTTACTGTGATGTTTCTCACCCAGAATGACGCTTTTAAAACAGTACCCGGGCCTGCCTGGTGGCGCAGGCGGTTGAGCACAGCGCTGTGAAGCTGTCCGCAGCCTCCGCAGTGCGGGTTCAATCCCGGCCGGCCAGGGAGCTACCCACATGGTGCAGCAGACCTCTCCTGTCTCGCCCGCTGCTCCCCTCAGCAGTGTATTTCAGTCAATCTGCCTGTTCTGCTTCCCACTCTGTCTCTGGTGAATCCTCCATCCTCTGCACCTCTGGCCTACACCCTGGTTCTTGTATAAATGAAAAAATCTTAAAAAACAAACAAACAAAAAAAAAAACCCAAGCATTGTTGATATTGCCCTGTGATACTGATTAAAATAGATAAGGCTGTCAACAGTATAAGTCCCTCTACTATTTCTTTAATTTTTTTGAGATCACTTTGGTTTACAACACTGTGTATGATTTAGGAGTACAGATTCACAGCTTTATAGATGTTACCACACCCACCACCAGAGCACCAATACTTTTCCCATCAAAGTCCAATGGGGTCCAATGGACCCCCCTCGCTTAGGAGGTCTCGGTGGGGTTGAGAGGCCGCGGCAACCACAGGACGTGTGCTGGGGTTAAGGGCAAGCTTCCCTTGCCTGCTCTCCCCTCCCCCCATTTGGTTTGTTCCCTTGTTTCTTTACATTCCTTATATGAGTGAATCCATCTAGTATTTCTTTCTTCTTATCATTTATTTCATTTAGCATAATTCCCTCTAGTTGGTCCTTATTATCACAGATGGCAGTATTTCTTTTTTTTATATAACTGAGTCTTATTTCACTCTGTATACACACCACACCTTCTAATCCACTCATCTGTCCCCGGGCACCTGTTTCCATGACTTGAATATTGTAAATACTGCTGCAGTGAACACAGGCGACCATAGATCCCTTTGAATTTGTTTTTTGCTTTTTGATAGACAGGAGTGGAACTTCTGGATCAGCGGTAGATCAACTGGTACTGTTGTGAGGAACCTGCACACCGTCCTCCCAGGGGCTACCCAGTCTGCTTTCCCACTCACAGTGCAGGCAGCTCCCTTTTCCCCACAGCCTACCAGCACTTGTTTCTGGTCTCTCTGACGGGGCCATCCCCACAGGTGTGAGGTGTATCTCGCTGTGATTTTGACTTGCATTTCCCTGGTGATGATGAATTCTTTTTCATCTGCCGGTGGCCATGTGTGTAAATATTGGAAGAGTGTCTATTCCGATAGTGTGCCCATATTTTGAACAGTTGTGTTCATGTTGAATGTATGAGTTCTTTGTAGATCTTGGATATTAGCCCCTGTCAGATGTATGGTATGCAAGTATTTTCTCCAAAATGTGCCCAAAGACAGTCCCCAAAGAATCCCTGAAGCCAACATGAGAGTGTTTTGCCTGTTTTCTTCTTGTATATTTATGGTTTCAGGTCTTAAGTCCAAGTCTTTTATCCATTTTGAGTTAATTTTTGTGTGTGGTGTGAGACAGCGATCTAGTTTCATTCTTTTGCAAAAAGTGGCTGTCCAGGTTTCCTAGCACCATTTGTTGGAGAGACTTTCCCTGCTCCTGTGTATACTCTTTTCTCCTTGGTTGGAAAGAAACTGTTTACTTGAGTGTGGGCTTATTTCTGGGCTTAGCTGCAGTCTGTTCATTTGTGTATCTTTCACTCCACACCCCACTGTTCTGTGCCCTCTCATGCGTGGGGTACTTGTACTCCTGGAGCCTGATGCCTCTGGTCTTCTCTGACAAGATTGCTTTGGCTATCCTGAGTTGCTTGTGCTTCCCTACAAATTCCACTAATTTTGCTCTACTTCGTTGAAGAACGCCACTGAAATGCTGACATGGCTTACATGGTAAGATGGCCATTTTAACCATGTTAATTTTTAATCCAATCCATGAGAAAGAAGTTACCTTTCGACTTGGGTCTTGTTTGTTTTAGCAGTGTTTTTACAACTTTTCTTGTAAAAAGGTCTTACAAAGGAGGTCTTTCACCTCCTTTACTAAGTTTATTTCTAGGTCCTTAATTCTTTTTGATGTAATTGGAAATAAGACTGTTTCCTTGATCTGCACCAGATGATTGTACACCGAGCGTGTCGCCTGCAACTTGACTAATGTATTGTTTCTAATAGGTATATTAGTGCCTACAGGGACTCCGTGTCATGACCCACAAGTGGTGATGGCGCTACTATACTAATCTCTCAAATTGGACTCCTTTTACCTCTCTTGCCAGTTGCTCCAGCCAGGACTTGTAGTACTATGATGAATAGCAGTGGTAAGTGTGGACATCCCTGTCTTGTACCTGACCTTAGGGTAAAAGCTTAGTTTCTCACTACTGTGTATGCTATTAGCTGTGCGTGTCTATCATAAAAGGTTTTTATTATGTTAAGGTATGTTCCTTTGCTCCCCATTTTATTGAGCGACCTTATTACAAATGGGTATTACACATTATCATCTGTTCACTGATATCACTTACTTATCTTTCCTCCTTTGAAGTGCTGCATGCACTGACCTGGTTGCATGTGTTGAGCCATCTTCGCACCTCTGGACTAAATCCCACTTGGTTATGATGTGTGATGCTTTTAACGTGTCACTGAATTTGGTCTGCTTAGATTTTAAGGATTTTTGCATCTATGTTTATCAGGAATAACTGGTCAGATTTATGTTGAGCTCATAAAATGTGTTGGGAAGCACCCCTCCTCCAATTTTTGGAAGTGTATGAGGACAGGTATTGGTTCACTTGTGAAGTTTGATAGACCAGGCAGTTTCACTAGTGAGTTCTTTGTTCAAACTGCATGCTCTGTAAGTGGCCTGTTTTCTCTTTCTTCCTCAATTGAACTTGGAAGGTTGTATGATGCTAAGAATTTGTTCATTTCAAATTACACAATTTATTGGCATAAAGATATTTATAATAGTCTCTCATTATAGTCTCTCCGTTCACTCCTGATTCTATTTATTAGAGCTTTCTTTTTTTTTCTTGGTGACTCCAGCTAGAGGCTTGTCTATCTTGTTTATCATTTATTATTTATTTACACACACACACACAGACATACGCGCACACGCACACACGCACGAGGGTGATAGCAGGCGGCAGGAAAGGTCTGCACACCAAGTAGGTCCCGCCTCCGGTGGCCGGGGAGCAACCGGGAATCGAACCGGCACCACAGAGGCTGCGGGCAGCTTCACAACCCAGCGCTCAACCGCTGCGCCACCAGGGAAGCCCTCTTGTTGATCGTTTTAAACGACCACTTATTTCTGCTGCCTTTTAAACTGCTCTGTCCCTTGATATAAGTGAGTCCCACCATTATTAACAGTACTGAAAATAAATTTTATAAACCTTCACATCCATTTCTGCAAACCCAACTGGGACATAAAAGAACTAATGTCACCCCCACTGGCATCCTCCATGTTACCAAGTCAACAGTGGAGTTGGCTGACTGAGCTGCCTGCCTGCTTCCCACAGCGGAGAGTCCTGGCCGTGGGCCTTCTCTCCTCTGCAGCCTACTTCCAGCACTTAATTTCCTCTGCTTAAATCTCACTGTTCCTAACCCCGGTGCATACTTAGCTCACTTATGTTCACCCACTCACCCCTAAGATGTTGAATATCCCCTTGACAGTATAATCTCCAATCTGAAAAAACCTGCATTCACTCCAGTTGTGGATTCACTTGCTGTATTTGAGAATTCCAAGTCTATAGTCATAATCCTTTTAATGGATATTCCTTTTAATCCTTTTAATGGATATTCCTTTTCCATCAAATAACACTACGAGTAATGTCAACCTGAGTATGTTCAAAATAAAATTTTTCATCTTCCCACTCGCTCCCCTAAACTCATTTTTCCTCTAAACCAGAAATATGGTGGATTCTCCACTTCTCTCTTGCTCAACCTCAAATCCAGTCGCTTACTACGTTTGGTGAATCTCACACTCCTGCTCCTCGTCCCTATACCTCTGCTGTTTTCTTGGCTGAGGGCCCTGCATCCTTTGGCCCGTGACTGTGACATCTTCCGCCTCCTCTGATTTACTCACCTGAGTTACTTTTTGTTAATGTCACATGTTCGGTGACCTGTTCAAATTAAATTCCTTCTCTCTCCCCTACCCCCAACACACAATTAAAATACCCCAGTGGTAACCTCTAACCTGTAGGTATAACCTCTTGCCTGTCTTTGTATGACCTCCAAGGTCATTTGTGACATTCTCTACCTTTTTTGTTCCTTCAGAAATTTGCTCTTCTTCTACTATTCAGGAATTGCTGTTTTATATGCTCTGTCTCCTCCACAGAGATTTCCTTAGAACCTACATTGCTGCTGTTTATGTGTGCAATGACTAAACACAGTGCCTGGTTTGTAAGAGATTTTCATTTAATGCTTTTGTTATTGTAGAAACAGGGAAGATTTTATAGTCTGTTGCCTCTGTGATGAGTATTTCTGAACAAATCATCTCATCTTCTCCATAGGGGTAGCCTAAAACACACTCACAACACAGGAAGAGTGGTTTTACTTGGTTCATAGAGCAAAGACCACACTAAAGTAAGAGGATCTAGCAAAAGCAGATATATCTGGACTTGTGCATGTTCGGTTACAAAGTAGTATACCCATAATGCTATGTAAACAAACTCTTGTGAAAAAGTCAGTGCTTAGAATTTATAGTTTGGGTCACATAATTAATCACTAAAATCTGCTTGTGAGCCTTAAAAATCTTATCTTTATACATACAAAGACTGAAAATTTGCTCTTTCAGATGTTGTAATTCTCATATAACTGATAAAGGTCATGGTTAATGGCTTTGCTAATTAAGCAGTCAAGTGCGGAAAATCACTGTTTCCCAACTATTTTTGGGAGTAGGGAAGTATGTCATCATTAATCAACTGTTCAATCACTGTCAATAATTATTTAAGCTTACCTGGTTATTATAGGCATCAGGTGCAAGTTTCTTGTATGTTGGTGCCATCAGAGTGGACAGGTTTTGTAAATGAGCCTCCAGTTTCTCCTCCTGTATAAAATGAATAATTCTGCATATTAAATTCTAAAACCATCCTTTCTATATGAGCGAGGCTATCAGTTTGATTTTTTTCTCCCTGCATCTTGGCTCCAGATTACAATATATATAGTGCCTCACTAACTAAAACTAAAGCATCTTAAAAACATGACTATGTCTAAGTTGAAAGTATTGCCCATATAGTACCTGTTTTTTGAATGTGCTATTAAAACACCTAGCTCCTCAGTGTTTTCTGTAAGATCACTGGCTTAGACATAGGCAGGCATCTGGCACATTATAAAATCCATGCTGATGGGGAGGGTTCAGACAAAGTCATGTGGTCTTTTTTTTTTTTTTAAAGATTTATTTATTTATTTATTTATTTATTTATTTATTTATACAGGCACTGGGTACAGTCAGAAGCGCGGGAGGGTGAGAGAATTCACCAGAGCCAGAGCGGGGAGCAGAGCAGGCAGAAGGACTGAAGTACACCGCTGAGGGGAGCAGCGGGCGGCAGGAGCGGTCTGCGCGCCATGTGGGACCCTCCTCTGGTGGCCGGGGAGCAGCCGGGGATCGAACCGGCGCTGCAGAGGCCGCAGGCAGCTTCGCAACTCAGCGCTCAACCGCTGCACCACCGGGGAGGCTCAAAGTCATATGGTCCTAAAGGGGCACATTCTACACTCCTCTCCATTAGTTGCCAAGGATGATGAGCTGTGACGGCCCTTGTTTGGCTTAAATTGTCTATTTCTAATTGTTTAATTTTAAATCATCTCTCCATAGAAGTAAACATTGCTGGCTGGTGTGAAATAGGGAGGGAACAGAGCTACAAAGTGATCTATATGAAGAACTTTGTAAAGTTACTGGAAAGGAGAAATAATGTTCAGTTCTCCCTCCTTTAACAAAGAACATATCTCCCAAGTCTCACCCTTTGTCAAATGGTAGAAAATACTTGGCTGTTTTACGCACACCTAGGAGTTCTCGTTTGAGGGGACATTTCTCGAGCAATCTTGGGAGACGGCACTGCCTGGCAGAGATGTACTTGGAGGAGGTGTCTGAGCTGAGACCCCTGCCTGCTGAGAGGGTGCGTGAGCCAGCCAGGAGAGCTGGCGTACACAAAACCCGGTCAGGGGGAGGCGCTCTGTAACCAGCCTGGAAAGTACACTGGTGAAGGACATGCAAAATGGCCCCTTCTCATTAGGCATATTCATGTTTTTCTTAGGAAAAAAGGACCTCTAGCACATTTTCAGTTTACTATTGAAAATGTAATCCTATGAAAAAAATTTCCATGATGACTTTTAGAGCTTCTGCATTTTCTTAAATTTCCACTGGTAGTGGAAGTTAGTTCCGTTCTCTATTTAAATTCACAAATAAAAAAAATTTCCCTAAGAGGGACATGTCACTATTATAAATGTATATTTCAATGGCATTTAAAATAGGAAAGATAGCATAGGTGGTTAAATGTGGTATTTTAGAGAAAAGACAAAAACCAGTGACTTAGATGAGAAATGAGGGTTCATTTGTTTCCATTACACTTTTACACTAAAATAGAAATGTTGTTCATAGCTGAAAACATTTGTTACACTAATTTTACACTGACAGCTCTCATGGTGTTTGCAGTGTGACTAGAAAGTCTTTTTTCTGAATGCAGAATTGTGATTTCTACAATTCAGGTTCAAAAGATGAGTTTTAAACTGAAGTGTTTTTTTAGTTTTAATTCTGGTGAGACAGCCCTTGAAAACTCTGGGTTAACATAGAATAAATAAAAAAAAGGCCATAGGTGTGAAGAGTTTATGCTGCAGCAACTTATTTCTTGGGTCTCACATGGTCATTATGCTACCTTCACAAAGAACTCTAAGGTGTGTCTGCGCTCTATTGAAAATGTTGTAGGCTCATCCCTGAGATGAAATCCTCTGCTAGTGAGAGCTCAGTGGAGTGTGCCAGACTGTTCACGTCATCTGTGCTCATCAATTCTCCATGAAAAATATAGAGATTATACATCAGGAAGTAAACAAACCTCTTTTGGGTCATCCCCAAGCAGCTTAAATTTTCTTGGGATCTTGCTTCTGGCAAACTTACATCCATTGTAGTACATGCTCCACGAACAACCGAAAGAAAAGGAGGCACCGCAGGTCTCTGGGTCCAGCCCCTGACAGGCACAGGTTCTCCTGAGAAATCAAAGACCAAGTTCATGGCTACGGAGCGCATCACCAGTGCCACCAACTTCATATTGGGTGTCTGTGTGTACATGTACACGTGACTGCACTAAATTAAGGTGTTGCCACCACACAGAAAATAATTTTAATTGACTTTAAAACACAATTTAAACAAACTTTCTGTTGCAGAAAAATTCACAGCTAGGGAAGAACATATAATACTCACACTATAATGGCTTCACAATACACAGGAAAACTACTTACCCAAGTAAGTAGCGCCACACAAAGAAACATGCCTGCCCCCCAAACCTCTGTTACTACTGGGGACAGTGCTTGGAAGGAAGCACAAGAGATTAGTTCTGCCTTTAAAAAAAATTATATGTACATCTAAATCTCTGACAGTTTTACATGGAATTGGTTTTGTGCAGACTCAGCTCCTGAAATGTATTTTTATACTAGGTATACATTATGTATAACACACTGCATAGTATTTTTACTACATATATTTTATACTCAGTAGGAGGTATTTTTATGCTATAAAAACTTTTACAGACTCTAAAAACTTCACATGTGGTATAAAATGAGCGGGACTACATAGGGATGGAGACTCTGTGGCAGCGGCTGCTCGGTCCTGAGTCACCTGCAGCACTGTGCTGGGGTGTCCTCTCACACCAATGCAGGGAGCTGCACCTTCAGTCAGTCCCCGGGGTGTAAGGATGCCACAAATCAGTTGTTCTACCAGTGGCAGTCATTGGAGTGCTTTCTAGTTTTTGGCTACAAGGCAGTGTAGTGACTTTACCGCCCCAGTCAGACATGTCCTAAGGACAATAATCGAACAAGCAAAGAAACCAAATGAACACAATAAAATAACGTACTCGCTAAAGTACATTCAGCAGCTCTTTCCCCCACCTTGAGACAGGACTGGCACGCTACAATACTGAAAGTGTGCAGTGAGATGATTTGATGAGTGTAGGTTCTCGCATAGAGTTAACACATCCATCAGCTCAAAGACTTATTCCTTGGCAAGAACGTTTCAGTTCGTTCTACTCTGAGCAAATACATGGTCCAGTGCATAATGACGTGATAACGAAAAGACTGTGCCCTCTTACCAGCCTCTCCTGGGTCCCCACCCAACACACGTTCCCTAAACTTTTCTACTGTTTGAGTCCAAGGTTTTGTGTTTGATGATTTGTCTTTCTGTCTGGTTTCTTTCCCTTGGCATAATGCCACCCTGCCAAGAAAACGGCAGGGTTTCTTGTTTTTCTGGAAAGGTGAATATTACATTAAGTACATAATATGTGTGCGTATACAAACCCTGACAGACGTGAATATGGAACGTGAGAGAATGACTTCATTTCTTCTGGAGATGCATACCCAGAGTAGGGCTGCTAGATCTTAGGTACTGCTGTGTTTAACTTCGGCATCTCTTGTCCTTTTGGATAACATACCCCCTAAAAGGGGCCCGGTGGTGGCAGCCATTCTAGCGGAAGTGCATGGGTCTCGCTGTGGCTCTGGTCCACACTTCCCTGAACGAGGCCTTTGCGTGTCTTTATGAAAGTGTCCGTTAATAAATAGGTTATTGTTTTGCAATTGACTTGTATGAGTTCCCTGTATATTTTGGATCATAAGCTCCTATCAGATATGTGGTTTGAAGGCTCTCTCACATAGCCTGCCTTTTATGGAGGGTTTATTTTGCTTCTGTTGCTTTTACTGTCAAATCTAAACAAATCACTGTCAGAAACAAAGCCAGTAAGATTACTTCTTGGGCTTTTTTCCTAGGAATTCCATTGTTCGGGGTCTTAAAATCAAGACTTTAGTGATTTTTTTTTTTTGGGGGGGGGATAGTGTAAGAGAGGGGTCCAGTTTCATTCTTTTGCAAGTGATACTCAGTTTCCCCATCACCATGGATTGAACAGACTGACAGAGGTATACAGTGGGATAAGACAAAGATTAACTGACCATACAGGCATGGGTTATATCTGGGTTCTCTATTCTATTTCATTGGTCCATCTGTCTGTTTTTATCCCAGTGCCATTCTGTTTTATTAGTATACCCTGGTAGTGCAGCTTGAAATGTGACAGTTTGAAATATAGACAAGTGGTATATCAATAAATTATCAAGAGATGCAAAACATGCTAAATAAAATACTAGCAAACGTAAGCCAGCAACATATAAAAATTATATATGTGGGCAAGTGAGATTTCTCAGAAATGAATTGTCAGTCCAATGTATGAAAGTCAACTAACACACCACATTACAGTGGATCCTTACCACATGGGCTTTTAACTGTGCAGGTACACTGACATGTGATAGATACAGATGAAGTGTTTGTTAACCGAATATTATTAGAGCTGAGTTGAGGAGGAGTCAAATTATCATACACCCTGTGTGGTTTAAGGATCCACTGTACATTCAGAAACAGCATCTGAGGAAAGCCCAACAGCCTCTCATGGCACAATACATTCTACATAAGAACCCTTCATCAACACGACAGAATTTCTCCCTAAAGCCAGGAACAAGACAAAGATGTTTGCTCTTGACAGTGTGCTCAATGTCTACTAGAGGCTTTAACCAGGGCAGGTAGGGAAAGAAAAGCAGACAGACGGTTAATAATTAGGAGACATACTATCAAGATGTATAGTATGTATATGCATACTATACATACTATACACTCTTCTCAAATTGGTCTACTGATTCAGTGGAACCCCTATCAAAAGCCCAGATAGGGACATTGACAAGGTAAATCCAAAACCTATATGGGCATAAAATGGGTCCAGAGTTGCCAAAATAATCTTGTAAAACCAAACCAGTTGAAAGCAACAGTAATCAACCCTGTGTCGTATTTGTGTAAGAACAGATACATAGATGCACAGACTCAAGAGTCCTACAATAACCCATACACCCTTGGTCTTGTCACCCTTGTGGGAAAATGGATGTTCACTGGAGAGTAGTCTGCAGCACACCTGGGGAACTACAGGCAACAGAATGAAGCTGAGCTCTTACTTCATAGCTCAACATTGATCAAAGATCTAAAGCTGTAATAATCCAGGCAGAAAACCCTCAGCTTCATGATCTGGGAACAGGCCATGGTTTCCTAGCTGTGACACCAAAACCAAGCAAGTAGTCAAGTCCTAACATCCGGAGTATAAAACGAACTCTTACAACTCAATTAACACAATTTAAAAATCAACAAAGCTTGGGCCTCCCCGGTGGTGCAGCTGTTGAGCGCAGCACAGTGAAGCGCTCCACAGCCTCTGCAGCGTGGGTTCGATTCCTGGGTGGCCAGGGAGCTACCCACATGGTGCAGCAGACCTCTCCTGTCATGCCCGCTGCTCCCCTCAGCAGTGCTTTCAGTCCATCTGCCTGTTCTGCTCCTGGCCCTGTCTCTGGTGAATCCTCTCGCCCTCCCGTGCCTCTGACCTGTACTCTGGTTCTTGTATAAAAATAAATAAATCTTTTAAAAAAAAAAATCAAAGCTTTAGGTATTTCTTCAGGCAATTTATAAAGAGCCAGTAGTACATGAAATAATGCCTCATGCCATCAGGCATTAGGGAAATGCAAATAAAAACCACGAACGTACTTCACACCCACAAACTTGGCTGTAATAAGACAGACATAACTAGTTTTCCTCAGTGTGTGGAGACTCGCGAACATCCATATACTACTGACAGGAATGGAAAGTGGTGCAGCAGCTTTGGAAAACAGTCTGAACATACCCCAGAAAGTAAAACATATTTTTTGCTCATATGTAACTGGTACACATGTTCGCAACATTGATCATACTAGCAAGAAGTGGAAACAACCCAAATGTCCATTAACTCATAAAATGTGTGTAATATTAGAGGGACAAAACAAGAGTTTTATGTTATAGGTGAAGTATTATTTAGCCATAAGAAGAATATTCGTATTATCACAGAGATGAACCCTTAAGGCATTGTACTAAGTCAAGGAGGCCAGGCTTAGCAGTCAAGCACAACATAATTCTACTAATATAAAATGCCCAGAATAGGCAGACAACAGAGAAAGCTGACTAGTGGCTACACTTCAGAAGGAGAAGTCTCTGGCCAAGGGGTATAGGGTTTCCTTTTGAGAGTGATAAATTTATACAACTTTGTGAATATACTAACCCACCGAGTATATACTTTTTGAATTTTATGGAACGTGACTATCTCAAAAAAACAAAACAAAACAAAACAAAAAAAAAAAAAACAGGCAACTTGCAAAGTGACAAGCTAATGGAAACAGGAAGTGATCATCAATGGGTGAGTACCGCACTAGACGAAGGTTTTCTGGAAAACTTGTAAGGTACATGGTGCCACGGACAACACCTGACATCCTGAACACTAAGCACCACACCTCTCTCCTCTCTCTCCTCCCCCGACTTCACATCCTCCTCTGTCATCTAAACACACAAACACACATACACACAGAACATCATGGTCAATGGAACAATACAGACATCATTTCCCCCCAATGGGTATGAAGAACTAAGATCATTTCCTCACCACTTATGAAGCATTTTTACCAGAAGGTAATAGGGATAGAGAATAAATAGAACAAAGCAAGTATGGAACCAGTCAAATCCAGAATGTAGAACATGGTACAGTGCAAATAATCTCATTCATACAGAAGGGGAACTGTACACTCTAAATTGAGAGTTTCACAAATCATGGTTTATCTCCCTAAATGCCATCAACTAGAGCCACTGTACTGAAAAGCCTCAACCAAATTCAAGGAATGAACTTTCCTCTTCTCTGACTTTGGATTAATAAAGTCTGAATAGGGCCTCCCCGGTGGCGCAGCGGTTGAGCGCTGGGTTGCGAAGCTGCCCGCGGCCTCTGCGGTGCCGGTTCAATCCCCGGCTGCTCCCAGGTCACCGGAGGAGGGTCCCACATGGCGCGCAGACCTCTCCTGCCGCCCGCTGCTCCCCTCAGCAGTGTACTTTGGTCCTTCTGCCTGCTCTGCTCCCCGCTCTGGCTCTGGTGAATTCTCTCACCCTCCCGCGCTTCTGACTGTACCCAGTGCATGTACAAACAAATAAATAAATAAAATGCCTCTATTAAAAAAAAAAAAAAAAAAAAAAAAGAGTACTGTGCTAGGACTCAAAAGAATAATTTAAAAAAAAAAAAAAAAAAAAAAAAAATAAAGTCTGAATATTAAACGATAACAGAGTCACTGTCAGTTTTGAGATGACATGCTGCCTAGGTTTTGCAAAAAAGCCCTTGTCTTTTCTACTAGTGGGGGTGAGAATGGTTGCACAGCTGTCTTTGGGGACTCCACTCCAGTAACATGGGAAACAAAAGCAAAAATAAGCAGTGAAGTACATGAAGCCAAAAACCATGTGAACAACAAAAGAGGTTATTAAAACGAAAAAGCACCTTTCTGAATGGGAGACAGTGTGCACCCAACAGGGCTGAGACCCAAGATGTACGAAGGAAAGGAAGAACTCAACCCAGAATGGGCGAAGAGCTAAGTAGGCGCTTCTCCAGAGAAGACACACAGCTGGCACAGGCACAGGAAACATGCTCACCATCATGACTGGCTGGGGAATTTGAATCGAAACCACAATGAGCTACCACCTCACTGCAGTGTGGAGAACGGGGCCTCCTGCACTGCGGGTGGGGACGCAGACGGCACGGAGGGGTCTCAAAGATGGACATACACCAGGACCCAGTAATGCCGCTCCGACATGTCTCTCTGAGAAGGCGGAGCACATCCACAGGGATCATGTTCCATGTTCACTGTGGCACTGGCTCCCAGACAGACGGGTAGAGACTAAGACGTGGCATACAGATAGCCTGGACTACCCATTTGTGACAACATGGATGGAGAAAGACAAGAACTGCATGATTTCACGCACAGCAATATGCAGAACCAAAACCAAGAAACAAGCAAACTGAAGTGAACCCTAGAAAGCCTCTGCAGCACAGAGGCCAGCGTGGGAGGGTGACGGCGAGGGGCCTGGTGGGCCCCGTGTGCTGGCGCACACACATAGAGGGGAGGGTCTGCGCTTTGGCTCAATGTTGTAAACCCACGTTACCTAAGATGCTAATGGGGACAGGTGTGGGGTTGGAAGTGAGGGGAGAGTCTGGTAAGATGGTGAGAAATACTGACGCTGGAGATGCTCAGTATAAAGGTCACAGGAGTGCCCCCGGCACGGCAGAAGGCCTGCCTGGCTATGACTTCCTTACCGTGACAGACATGCCCACAGCGATTGCTTGCCAAAGCAGTACCGGTCAGGCTTAGTCATGAAATAGAAATCTCAGAGGGGAATCTTTAGAGGAGGAACAGCTGGCTGGGCTTGAAGAAAAAGCACAAATCCATTTTTGGATTTTTCCCACTGAGAGTGGCTGTCAGAACTCTCTGGGCTCCCAGTGCCCACATGGGCCCTGGGGGTTGTCAGGCTCCGAAGAGGCACACGTGCCTATGAAAATGAGGACTCAGCAACTTCCATGTGAAGTTATCCTCTGTTCTTGGCAAAAAGTCCTAATTTTAAACTTCTGGTAGATACAGAGTAAAATTTCTACCTGATGGGACAGAAGAAACTTTAGATGCTCTAAGAGAAGTGTCTTTGCCACTGTTTACGACCCTGTTTGTCATGCACCTCGAGTGCATCTTTTGTGTTGCTTTGGAGAATCGCCCTCAGTAGGAGTGGCCCAAAGCTTAAACTTCATCTGAATAATTACCTAAACCCCAAAGTTTTAAACAGCAATAAACGAAAGTATACTGGCAATATCAGCCCTTAAAATTAAAGCTTCATATCTTGTGTATGTTTTACCCCCTATTTAAACCAGTTTCATTATTTTTTTTTGAGGCCCTGACATTCACTGTTTTCAAATGCAAACGGAGACAATGTAGGCAAGTTCTTCAACTTGTACAGAATTATTACCTGCTGCTCTTATATTCCATCTCTGGTAAGGGCATTTCTGGGTAAGAAAGAAAAGCCTTTGGAGGAAAATACCAAAGATGTGTAACAGATTAAAATTAAATCTATTACAAAGACTCTGACAGAGTTGGCATGAGACTTCAAGAAACATAAAGAAAGGACTGACTCTCTTTACCAGTGCTGTAGTGGATGTGCAAGCAAACCTGTTCCAGGAGAAAGGCAGTGTTGCTGAGGTCCTGAGAAAAGCCGTTGCAGCCAGTGGGATCCAAGGCCTCCAAGGGCATACCTGCCAGGTGAGGCCGCACACGCACAGCCCCTGAGGCTCCCCCGGACGCCTAGGAGCTGCAGCATCCACCTGCCAGTGCAGTGCCCGCTAGACCTGTGGCCTCCTAAGGGCCATGGGGAGCCCGGTCAGGCCTCAGAGCCAGAGAGACCCTGCGCTGCCAGGGCTGGTGGGAAGTGCCAGCTGGGGGCCTGGCACACTGTGCAGAAACAGCACAGGGTATCTGCACGCCCAGCGTGGTAGGTGCAGAAGGAAGGGGAGCAGTTCACATGGGGCAGCGCGGCAGGGGCTAGCACAGGCCGGTGCCCTCCAAGTGGCCCTTTGCACTTCCTGTAAGTGGCTGAGGTTAAAACAGGTGGGGGGCGGGAGGGGAAGGATTGGGGTCAGAATGGGGCGTTTGCAATTGTATGGGGGAATATAAAAATAAAATTTAATATTTAAAAAAAAAAATGCATATACCTCATTTAATATTTTTTGCATTTTCTGGTAAGAGCCTACTTCTAAATCCTGTAAGGAATGTAGTCCCATTTTTTTTTAAATATTTACATCACTATTTTGACTAATAACTTTCTAATCCAGGTTGAATTCCCACTGTTTCTTGATCTGAATGTTTTTGTACCTGGAAATTCCAAAAAGCAGATGGATTCATAAAAAGAAGATTTTGATATGATTAAGTACAGTAAAAGAATTATATTGAGATGACTCAGCCAATTTTAAGAGTTTCATCAATATTTTCCAAATGGTATTATCCTTGAGCGGATACTTCATTTGTTTTTCTTTCTTTTTTTTTTCACTGCTAGCCTGGGAACCCAACAATTGCTTATGAATAAATTAACCAGTGAAGGGCAACTTTGATAGAAGCAATGGTAATTTAGATTTAGAATGCACTATATATTGTTTGTATATTTTATATCATATATTGCTATATATATTTTATACATTTGTACATTAAATTACCTATATACTTATTAAAAAAAAAAAAAAAAAAAAAAGAAAGATATTCCAGTACTTGGATGTGCTCAACGTTTTCAAGAGCAAACCCCTGTCCTCGTCCAAACCCTCATACTCCTGAGAAGCAATGCCTGCCCCAGCCACCCGTTCCTGGTGTTCGCTAGCAGTACTAGCGGCAGCGATGTGAGTGAGCTGAGACTTACACGGATGGTTGGTTCGGCTCTGTTTCCACAGAACGCGTACAGGCCACGTATTTTACCTTGGCTGTGTGTATATACAGGAAAGCCCCTGGCCCGGGATCCCCAAATGTCTCGCCACACCGCCTTTCTGTTTCAGATGCTGCAACGTGGAAGGCGCAGCAAGCACAAGGGCTGGCACTGCAGCCAGTGGACTCGCTAATATTCCCAAGTTTGAGGTCTGATGAGCTGTTGCCGTGGCCCCCGCCCTTGAACTCAGGCCTAGCCAGGGCCCCAGATGACCGTGCCTCAGTGCTGAGTGCCGGCTGGGGTCTGTCCCTGGGACTGGGGGTGTGCACATGGACCCCTGCAGCCCACTCTGGCACAGGCTGGCTGTCCCTGTGGCAGCTCCTGCCTCCATGGTTGGCAATGCCACTGTTGCCACCATTGCTCGCCAGTAATTGGATGAAATAAAGAGTGGCTGTACTGTGGATGCTCACAAATAGAGTACGTAAGACCCTCTTCCCCTGTGCGCTGGACTGGACAGTCAATGACGGGTAAGATTGGGGGCAGACTAAAGAAGGCACTGGCCAGCCTCCCCTCTGTGCAGATGTGCAAGGGCAGAGTCGGGGCCGCCCGCACCCCCACACTTACTCTTCGTTGAGGGCGCAGCGGCGGTTGGTGTGGGTGCCAGACTTCCGCAGCGTCTCCGTGAGCTCTGAGTACAGCTGGTCGGCCAGCGGCAGGGGGATGCCTTCCCACACCAGGATGAGGACGACGATCACGGCGGCCTCGCATGCGTGGCCTGCTCGCTCCCGCACCAAGCACAACAGCTTCTCCTCACTGCAGCTTCTGCGCACCACCTGTGCGGGTCCCCGTGCCCCCCCAACACCCCACCCGCCCAACAGAACAGGGTCACTGGCTGCAGAGGAGCGCACGGGCGCAGCACATGTGCTCCTAGTACGTCTGGGCACCATCAGGGCCCACAGCCAGCACCTGCGACTGGCCTTTGGGGATCCCACCTGTGGGGTGCGGGACAGGTATCCAGCAAGTACAGCTGCTCCAGGCGGAACAACCTCTACCCAGAACTCGGGGCCCACTGAGCTGCCCTGAACCCAGAGCTGGGCGAGCCAGGCAGGCAGGCCTCCTCCAAGGGTGTTTAAAGGAAGGACTATCTCATAACGCTCTGGAGAAGCATCCTTCTAGGGGACAAACAGGCCCCGTCCTCCCTATTGAAGTCTTTCAACTAAGTAGAGTTTGTACATGATTGTAAAAGTAATCTAATTCAATAAACACAATGACAATTCTTCCCACGGGCAGGAACGACTGAGCTGGGTAACCCAACTCTCAGGCTTGTGCGTGAGCCAAGGCAGCGGGCATGCCGAGTCACACTCACCCATTTAGCAATAGGACATCCCTGAGAGCTTTTGCCTTCTTTACCAGTATACACGACTCTTTCGATCCTAATAGCTTTTCCCTTCTGGCCAAACCTTAAAGAAATCCAGAGATACACATAAACACAATTAGCTAGTGAATCCACGAGGCAAGCAAAATAATGAACATTTGAGCATAATTTTATCCTATCACCACATCCTGAGAAATGGTTTATTTTTTAAAAACAGGTGTAAGCCAAGCAAACTGGATCCTAATCTTAATATATACTGATAATTGCAAAGCTGCACTGAATTTATGTGCTGGGTAAAAATAATAGCAACACTCAGTTTATACATATTTTCACAAAGCAAGCTTGCTAAATCCAGTCTTCCATTTGATATGCAATCTTTACTAGATTTAACTATTTTAAAACTTGGGGAATCATAGATTTCAGTTAGAACTATTCCTCAAGCAATCTCATACATTTTTTAAAAGGAGCTGGCAAATAACTAGTACCCAGCGATTTAATTGTATTTTCCCTTAAGACCAACATAGTACTTGCTCATAAAAATAGACGCGTAGAAAAAGTCACGGTCTGTGCCAGGCTACGAGATGATTAGTTAGTGAATTTCTACATGCTAATTTAGACATGAACAATCTGGAAATGGAGCAAGGACACTACGTTTCTGCTGCCCGGAACATCTCTAATGTATTTTAATAGCACTGCCTACCTCTCACAGAAAAGGCATCCTAGCATAGTACAGCTCAGAGCTGTGGACACCTATATCAAAGTCTCTCTGCATTGATTATCTCGCTCCTAAGAGTCTTCTACATGCAGGAGTAACTGCAGATTCAGGTACATACTTGCATACCTGTGTTGACAGCAAAGAAAAAGCAGCTATAAATAGAATCTGTCTCTATTTCTATTCAATATAACCCACTAGCCCTCAGCTCAGACTAAGGGACAACTTCCTTACAGGTGATACTCATGGCCACTCCAGGTGATGAACTCGGGGGCTCCTCTCTCATACCATGCTTCCCCCCCCCCTCCTCTCTGACACTGTCACCAAATGGGCTGCCAGCGTGGGGCCCTCTGCAGCGGTGCCAGCACCCTTTCCTGGCAGGCTGGCTAGCGGGTTCCTGTTCGTGCCTGGGTTTCTGCATCCGTCGCCAAGTGGGCAGCCGGTGCCAGCCTGCAGACTAATGGTGCCGTCAAATATTGTGACTCTCCGGTGAACGGCACAGTGTGTGGTGCTGGCAACCCTGGATAGCTAAGCCTGCTAATCATGACTCAATTTACAATTGTTTACTGCTTTGCTTGCGAAAGCTGGAAAAATTCTGACATGTACAAAAGGAGAAACGTTCATCTGCCCTGTGCCTTTGCGTTAATTACCTTTCTTCCATGATTTCTCTAATAGCTGCCACATTAGGACCTGCTCCTAGATGGGTATAAAAAGGACCTTCATCTTTTTCAATAATTTGCTCTGTTGAGATAATAGAAGATTATTATTTTAGACCTCAATTATACTAAATAGAAAGGCTATATCCACAAGCGTATCCCCCAACTGCACATTAAGGGCCCTAGAAGTTTGTTTTTTTTTTGGTATCAGTTCACGTGACTATGTCACTTTGGGGTAACACTTTACTCCTCCATAGGTGCACATGCTTCATTCCCCCTCCACCACACCTCCCATGCCAGTGCCCTGCCCCTTACTCCCTTCAATGTGACTTTAAACATTGTTTTCTTTAAAAGGAGTAAAGTGCTAGACTAATCTGTTAGAAAATGAAACAAGTATATATGCACGGCTGACTGTTGGATAAAAATAAATTACATTTCAGATACAGGTGAGAAATTATTGTAACACAAGTGGAATTAAAGCAAACAGTGAGGGAAATTAGCATAAATTATATGTAATATTAACTACAATCCAATTTTTAAAAATTTTAAAGCTAACTGGAAGCCTGCCTGACAGCCAATTGGATGTTACATGGTTAAGAACAAAATGTGTGTGTTCTCTCCACCCTGGAGTATTGCTCACTTGGCTGGAAACCCACATGTAGTAACTGTTTTGTACATAAGAGCACTAAATCCAGACTCACATGTGTACGACACCTTATGATCAGAGACGACACTGGAGTGTGCAGGTCAAAGGGAAGGGGTTTGCAGATTACCAAAGATAGGACAGTGGGGAAAAAGGGTGAGCATGGTCATAACTTACCTAATACTAGCTATGCCGTTGCGGCCCTTCAGCCCAGAGAGGTGACTTGACCTGACCCTCCTCCATTCCCCCGTTAAACTTATTAAACTAGGGCAACACCCATAAGGGGAACAACCCAAGGTTGATGGACTCACAGTAGCTTGTTTTTTCAAATACCTTTGGCTCTGTGCAATCTGAATACTTACGACCCCTTTTCTCTCTATATATATAAATGTACCCATCTGCAATCGTCAGCAAAAATATTTCCTTGGGCCTCCCTGGCGGCGCAAGGGGTTAAGCACCACACTATGAAGCTATTTACAGCCTCTGCTGCACAAGTTTGATCCCCGGCCAGCCAGAGAGACAACCCACATGGCGAAGCAGACCTCTCCCAACTCGACCACTGCTCCCCTCAGCAGTGTGTTTCAGTCAGTCTGCCTGTTCTGTTCCCTGCTCTGTCTCTGGTGAATCCTCTCACCCTCCCGCACATCTGGCCTGTACCCCGGCTCTTGTATGTATAAATAAATAAATCTTTAAAAAAATACATTTCCTTATGCTAACAGACCTCTCACCTATCTTCAATTTTAATTCAAAGGTATTTGCTTACTAAGAAGAAAAGAGATACCTATGTACTTTCTAGCATTTAAAGAGAAAACAGAATCAAAGTACATATAAATTACACAGCATTTTGAGTATATAAATGGAGAAAAGGCATTTTCATGTGTATTCAGAACTTAGCATTATAATTTCCCCCAGGTCACTGAGACTTTCGATACTTTCCCCCTTATCTAGCAATTAATGCTATAAAACTACATTCAATATTGAATTGAGATGTCCTACATTTGCATATTTCTGGACTTGTTTTTGCAGATGGCAGTTATTTTGTCACTTAATAGATGCTTCTGCTGCTTTGCTAAGTCTCCAGGAGATGAGATGCAAAGAGTTACATAGGCGAAGTGATCTACAACGGATATATTTATATTTTAAAGGGTCTGAAGAGGGGAAATGAGCATGCATAAATGTGCTGACTTTTTTGGAAAAGTCAAACCTAAGCGCAGGTCTTTTTGTTCAGTGCAAGCATCTGTAATTTAAGGACAAGAAATATAGGCTTCAGATTTTTATGAACCACATTGCTGCCAGCTTAAGCTTCTTTTCTTTTTTTAAAGAATAAAGCAAGCAAGTCCCCTACCTGAAGATGAATTTTCTAATTCTGCATAAACACCACATCTCAGCCCAATGCTGGCACTTACCTACACAGCTGCATGATGGGAAATCATACTGAGTCTTGACAGGTGTATCCAATAAATTTTTTATAGGTGTATCTAGCAATTTGGAAGGTGACTCTAAAAAATGATTGAGAACAGAACCAGCTGTTCTTTTGGTTGGTGTCTTTTCTAAAGATGGAGTTGCTTGCTGCTCTAAAGCCGGGGTGCGGCTGTGGAGGTCGGCAGCAGAGGTGTGTCGGGTCAGAACCGTGACTGGCCCCGACATTTCAACTTTGATTTGCTTCTGTGATTTGAGAGTGGGCACCTTGTGGTCAAATAGAGACCTGGCCTGCAACTGCTTCAGATGCTGCTCCATTGCTTCCAGACTGCTCCTCTGCTGCACGGTCTCACAGTGTGGCGGCAGCACCTCTTGCTTAGCTATCTTTTTCCACGTGTTGTTTTCTGGCTGTGTGGACGTGGGGTGCATACAGGCATGGGGCTTGGATCCGGGCTCCACCTTAATTGGCCTGTGCATCTGCTGCTGGCCAAAGTCTGTTTGGGATGGCTGTGCTGGCTGCTGCTGCTGCCCTTGCTTCTGTAAGAGGTGCCACCTTAAAGCGGCGTGCTTCTGAATGTCCTTGTGGGGAGGGGTCTGTGTGTGACTGCCCCCGGGGTTGGGCACAGGGAAAACATCTGTTTGGCTCCGTGCCAGGCCCCTGTGCCATGCGATGTGCTGGGCTGGCACATCTGGGTTTCGAGCTTTGCATGCCTGTAGAGCAGAAGCCTGGTAAGACTTCTGCTCGGATTCTTGAAAGCACCTAGAAACATCTTGCTTGGAAGTCACATTATTTGGAAAATATTGCATGTGATGCAAGTTTTGGGTCTTGTGTCCTGCAAACAGTTCAGAGGGGATACCCCGTTCTTTATGGTCTGGAGCTGAGTACGTACTGTTTGAACAAGAAATCTTAACCTGGTCGGCATTTGATTTCAGGATCTGCCCGTAGGGAGAATTGCGATTATTCAAACTCTGAGCTTGCTCCAGTCCCATCTGGGTGTGTGGGGCCTGGAACTCGTTTGATTTTGAATACTGACGCTCACCACGAAAGCTCTCTTCCACCTTCACGTGCCTAAAGAAAGCTCCATCTCTTTGCTGGTCGTTGTTGCCTTGTGAATAAGGAAAACTCTGGGGCATCTGTTCCTTATTCTTCATCTGTGAATTTTGCTGCTGCTGCTGGTTTTGACAGAGATGTGAATTCTGGGGCAGTTGTATTTGTGCCGCCTGCTTCTGAGGCTTGTGCGGCAGAAAGTGTGAGTTGGAGAACAGCTCTGTCTCTGAAGCCTGCGGAAGCAAGTGCTGCTTGAAGGTCGGGGCAGGGAGCTTGTCCATTTGGGGCTCTGGTCTTTGTTGAAAATGAAATCTGGGGGTGCACAGTGACTGCACATGAGCTTCAGGTGAAGGGTCTGAGTTGGCAAAGTGCACCGGGGCTTTCGGAAGGTGGAGCTGCTGGTCCCCAGCACCCTGAGATTGCCCCTGTTTCATCTCCACCGGGTGCCTCTGAGGCTGGTGCTCCGGCCCCACGATTCTCTGGGTGTTCGAATGCACCAGGAGCCCCCGGGGCAGGCTGGAACTTCCAGTGTATTGTTTGGAGGTGACCTGAGGGGAGGGAATGGACTGGTAGGGAAGGGCAGAAGGCAGGGAGGCCTCGCTACCCTGTGGGTGGGACTCTGCTGGGTGAAAGTGAGGGGCCTTCAGTTCAATCCAGCCTGGCTTCAGGTAGGGCTGAGCTGGGAGGCCCCGATCTCCAGGCCGCTCCTCCTCTCCATCCTGCAGCTCATCTTGCTCTGTGCATCCTGCCTGCGACTGGTCTCTGCCATCAGCGGGCACCGGGTGACGCTGGACATGTTCTGACCTGGGTCCCGTTTCCTCAGAACATGACGAAGCAGTCATCTGGGCTGGGGCCCAGGAGTCACTCTTGGGGACGCAATTATTTTGCAGCCTTTCTGGAAGCATCCGAGAGGGGGTGGGCACACGGGGGCCCTGAGGCAGTGGTGCCTCGGCGGGACTCTCCCTCTTCACTTCCTGTACGAGAACCACGTTACTTTGGTTGGGGCAGTGAGGGTGTCCCTCTGAAACGTCCTCCTTCTCCGTGCGTTTTGCTTCTGGAGGAAGCGGAGGAGCCTGTGGAAGGGGCACAGGGGGAGAAAGGAGCCTTGGTGGTGGAGGTGGTGGCGGGGTGGAGGCAGAAATGGAATCCTTAGTGAACACTGAGTCCTCCTTGAAGTAAGCACCATTCGTTTCGTGTTGCTGTGAAGATCGCCTCGCCGTGCTGAGGCTGCCGCCGGTCCCTGTGGGGAACTCGCCCCCCAACGCGGGCCTGGCGGTCACTGGAACGGCTGGGGCGTCCTCGTTTTCTGCAGGAGACGGGCAGACCTGGAAAGCGGCTGCGTGTTGTTTTGCTGTCTCGAAGGGGCAGGTCCTGGTTGTGGCCGCGGGATCCCCGGCATCGGCTTCGCCGGCCAGGGGCACCAGCCCCGCGGATTCGGGGTGCAGCCGTGGGCAGGCGGGCTGCGGGCAGCCGGCGGGCCCTGAGGTATGTGACGGGGGAGAGAGGTCACAGGACAACTCGCTAGGAGCCTGCCTGGGAACGACTTGGATGTGAGATGGGGTTTTCTGCACCGCAATGGAAACACAATCTGGGTAATATTGAGACAGCGTCTTCTCCAGGAGTTCACCTTGCGCGTCCTCCACGGAGGAGGCGGGAACTGTAGCACCGTTAGGCATTAGCACCGCCTTGTTCTGGAGCAGGGCCACGAGGCTCTTGTCGTGCTGGGCAGGCCCCTGCAGCAGGGGATGCTGGGGGGCGCCGTGGCCGAGGGCGCAGAGCCCCGCCAGGTCTTGCCCGGCGCCCCCCCAGGGGGCCTGCCTATCACTCGGGGCCGAGGCGGAGGGGCGCCCGCCGCCCTCGCCGCCGCCTCTCCCTGGGCTTTCCCCGAAGTTCGCGCTTTCTCCATTCGCCTTCTGGTCTGGCCTCAGCTTCTTGCTCTGGTGGAGGCCGGAGAGCGAGGGCTCGCTGACCGTGCGCTTTATCCCGCCGTTCTGCAGGCACCGGGGCAGCCCCCGCACCGCTGGCAAGTCAGGGCTCGCGTGGCGGAGCTGGCTGCCCTTCGCAGGGGGGATGCCGGGCTGGCCCGGGAACGCCGGCCATGGGGTGTCTCCGTTCACCTCCCGCTGAGGGCTCTCCGCAAAGGGGCTTCCATTCTGGAGCCTGGTCGCCAGGGCTTCGGTCTGGCAGACGGGCGAAGGCGAAGGCGTCAGGAAGGGACTCAGTCTGTTGCCCTCCACATGGTTGGTTCTGTGCTGTTCCATCAGGCTTGCTTCGGGGCCATCCACAGGGCTGCCCTTGGAGTGAATTCTGCAGAGCACAGAAAGGACAGGGTGTTAGTGCAAACCCAGGCCCGTGGCACGTCTTCGAGACCAGCCTTGGCGCTCTCGTGCCTGTTTCCCGTTGCCGGGAGCTGCGCTCACACAGTGATTCTGGACTCCAGAGCAGCTCCTGGCAGTCGGTGGCCATCTGTGGTCACGGAACACAGATCGTCAAAATCAGCTAATGAGGGACAGAATGATTCCAGCTTCCTTCTCAAATAAACCCCTTTAACAAAGGAAGACCACCCCATCCTGCCTTCCCCAGCGCCTGCATCTCCGGCACAGGCATCGCCCCGTTACCCCCTGCTCCATCGCCAGCAGACCTTTTGACTTCCCTTCGGACTATTCCTTCACTCATCCTCCCGTCCCATCAGTAGCTAGATCTTCTGGCCCCTGCCCATTACCTACGGCAGGGACTTCTCCAAGAGGCCTCCCCCTGCCTGGCCTGGCCTGGTCTGTCTCGAGTCCTTCAAGGCTCCTGCTAAACAGCCCTCACAGGAATGTTGCAGGGAGCCGCTGTGGTGTCACAGCCTCCTAACACCCTGAGCCGCTCCACTCCGCTGCATGCCTGGCACACCCCACGGACAGGGCAGGGCTGAAAAGGGCAACTTTCAGATGCCCTTTCTAGGTGATTCTAGGGTTTCCTCTACGGTCGAGGAGTCCTGCCTCTCTCTCTCTCTCTCTCTCTCTCTCTCTCACACATACACACACACACACACACACACACACGGACGGACGGACGGACGGACGGACAACACAGGCAGCGCTATGCTTTCTCTCCCCTCTTCCCTCTCACATGCACACCCCAATGTAATGGCAGCCTGGAAACACCCAAGCACAGTGAGCTGCTCATAGCCCAGTGCCGCTGTTTTGTCTGCCCAGACAACTCAACTGCCTCTTGGCCCAGGGGCCACAAAGCATCTCTCTAATCTGTCCCGGGCATCACCTCCCTTAGGATGCCTTCTTTGATTTTCCAGGAGAATCCATCACCCTCACTTCTGTGCTGCGTCCCTGCTCTCAGATCCGCTGCTGATCACATCTCCTTTGTTTAGGCTCTGACTGGACGATGAACTCCTTAACGACACTCCATTGACCTAATATCCAACCCATTTCATAAATTAGCTTATCTTTACTATCCTTTCTTCATTCATTCAAAGTTGTTTCAGACCAGTGGGGTGGCGATTTCAAAGACCAGATGATAAAGAAAGCAGGGATAGCCACAAAACACATCAACAACCTATTCTCAGCACCCCGCTGCCCCATTTGTGATACTGTCGTTCTTCCTTTTCCCAGTTTTTCTAATTGCATTCATTTTAAGGATAATATGTAGAAAAATCAATTATTTTCCCTTTCATCCGTAAAACATAGCTCTATTAAAAGTCATTGCTTATTAACCGAAATAAGTGAAACAGAGAAAAAAATATATAAATATTGCAAAGCAACACTAAGTTATTATCATAACATAAGAAGACTGTACAGTGGCCAACCAAGAACAGCGAGGGAACCCTGTTACAGTTCATGAGAATTTGTAGCTGAAGAAAACAATCAATAGCCTCAGCACAGAAAGGGAACAGTAAGTCAGAAGCATTAGTGAAACTGGACACTGTAATGGAAAAAATATTTTTAAAGCACCATGAATAAATTTAAAAGGAAATGTTAAGAATGACCTATTTGAATAAGACTTGAAAACAATACTGAGGGATATACAAACATGAAAACTAAACAAGCAGGAAACTGTAATATGTCCTGGGATTGTTGTCAAGTTAATCTACTCATTTAATGTACTCTCAATAAATACACTAGCAGAATGTTTTGACAAATTAAAGAATCTGAATCTAAAGCTCACGTGGAAAAATTAACCAACTGATTCACTAGGAATAATCTGTGAAAGAAGTGTAATGGGGCCTGGGCAGGGCAGTTGCCTAATTAAAACCAAGGCAACCGGCAACATAAGCTGTTCTATGAAGACTGGCCTGTACCTGCCACCAGCAGACAGCAGGTGCTGGTGAGAATGATGGGATGGAACAGGATGTTTAGAAATAGAGCCAAGCGCAAAATATGGTGTGAGATACTGATGCATCTCAAAGACATAAAGGATATGGGAACAACTGGATAGTCTTCTGGAAAATGATAAAGTTGGGTCTACCCCTTACATCTTGTATCAGAATGATTTCTACATGGATTTAATATTTGAATATGAAAACTCCCACCTCTAAAATTAAAAACATAAAATATACTAATGACTGATAAGTTGTTTATAACAAAAAAAAAACTAGAAACTATAAAAAGTTCAAAAGCTCAGTAACATTTAGATGTGCGTGCAAAAATAGACCTATAAGCAAAGTTAAAAGTCACACAAAACTTTGCTTACTCTATAGAGCTCATACAAATTCACAAGGAGAAACCAGCCAAAAGCGAAATGAGCAAAGGACATGGACAATTCACAGGAAATGAAAAAGAAATGGCACTGTAATATGTCAAAAGATGTCCAGCATCATTGTAAAAATGCAAACTAAAACCACAAGATCATTTTCTCTCAAACTGGCAAAGATCAAAACGTTTGATAATACGCTATGTTGGCTAAGCATGTGTGGGGCATGAACACCCTCCTGCATGCCTGGGTCTCAGACACCAAAACCAAAGCCAATAGCCTGAAGGTCAATTTGGCAACACCTACACCATTTCATAGGCACTTCCTCTGACCGTTTAGTTTAAGAATTTACCCAACAAATACAAGCACAGCTCATATAGATGCTGAGTTGCAAATGCACAATCTTCTGTAACAGCAAACTGGAAATACCCTATGTTATCACATGGGACTATTTCCAAATAATTTAATGACATAAAGCAAGTCGCAGAATGGCATCTATAAGAATACTACAACCTGTTTATTTACAAAAATAAATACAACAGCACCTCTGGGAGAATACAGAACAGCCTGGCAATGACCTCTTTCCTGCAGGAAAGGGGTGGGAGGCCAGAGGACAGGACTGGAGGACTACCAGTCACTGTTCGATTTTTGGAAATCTAAGCTTGTGTATTAATTAATAGGTAAATAAAATTAATAAAAGCCATAGTTCCTATAGAATAAAGATGAAAATTGTGTGAAGAATAGAATTAAGACTCCTACTGTAAACTTAATGTGCTATACATACAGGTGCTGATTTCCTGTGCTGTAGTCCTAAAACCTTTGTGATGTTATAAACCCGTGTGTCTTCAATTAAAATATAAGACCTAGTGTGGACTGAAAAAAACATGAAATAAAACAGTATTTATCACATGTTGAAATGAGGCTTTCTGGGGTATATTAAGTGAAACCTGTCATTAAATGAATGTCATTTCTTTTTACTTGTTTGGATGTGATTACTGGAAACTGTAAAATTCCATGTGATTTACATTGTATTTCTAGTGGACAGAGCTACACAAACATATGAAATCATCCATAGCCCTTAATACAAAACCTTTAGTTCTAGAGTCATGACAACTGAGTCGTAAAGTCTTTGTGGTAAGGGGCGTCTCTAAAATTAGAAATAAGCCTGGACAAATCCTTCACAGACCAGGTCAACTAGCATTCCAAATAATAATAATGAAAAAAGCTTAAAAGCTGAAAATCAATTCACTTATAAAGCAAACCGAGGCATTGACATGTACACTCATGTACAGATTTATATGTTATAAATTGGGTAAAACTCTCAGGCTCCATCTATGATTTATATTGTCCCACTTAATTTTCTAGATATACGGTATTTTAAGCATTTAATACATTATTCTCTATTATGACCCAAGCCACATAATGTGGACATTCTTTAAAGTGTCAAGGACAAAATTACAATAGATGGAGTTTGCAAATCTTTTATGAGCATAATAATAGTTCCTATGAAGAAATGAAGGTGTCTTAATGTGAGATTTATCTCAATATGGAGTTTTACACACAATAGCCATTTTTAAACACTAATTTAAACTTATCAGAACTATTTTGTCTGTGACAGCAAATTCTTTTACTGAGTATTGCCATCGGCTGTGAAAAGTTAAATGGTTAACTTTTTCAGGGAAGGCAGGAAAATTATGTGTTATCTTCCATTTTAGGATGAGAATAATTTGTTAATTGAAGATGACTTGTTATTACTGTGAACCTGATTCAGAACATTTAAACCAATGACGTGCCACTGCAGCAGGAGAACGGAGGATTTCCCTTGACTTTGCTCTGGCCTGAACGCCACACTTGGTTCATGCACACCCTGGAATTTAACATACCCCATCAACCCTGTGCAAAGTACTCTTTCAATGCTTTCTGCCGACACTGGCAAACACTACTTATTTTTAATAAAAAAAGGAAGGAGACCTGCTCTCATTTTGGCCACTGTAGAAAGACTTCATGCTGTAATTTCCAGGGTGTCACACAAAGTTTCTTCAAGCCTACGGAAAGTTGATAACATACACATACAACAAAAAAATCTTCCAAGTTTTTTTGGGGGGGTGGGGTGGGGGGAAGACGTGTACCTACTAATCAGTGCAAACAGTTACTAAGCTACTTTAGAAGTTTAGGGGGGAAAGAAGCCTTTCAAAGTTTACGCACTTCAGATGAATGTAAATTTTGGCTGTGGAAATATTTTTGTGTGACATCCCTTTTGCTTCTCACAAACTAAGAACATACTTTTTATTCACCCATTTTTGCTCTTAAGACTGATATCAGAAATATTTTGTTGATTTTTCAATGATGATCACCTGAAATTTATAATGCCATAGCAATGTTACTTCAACAAAAACCATCAAAAAGGGAATAATTCGATTTCTTATAATTGACTTTTGATACGATTGAGATTAAATATACTTTTATCCCATAGTAGAGAACATTTAATTGTGACAATGCAAGGTACGAATCCAACACTGTTTCCTTGTGCAAGTGAACAGTCTAATACTTTGTAAAGTAACGCCAACTCTTAGAGGTCTGTAATAGTTATTTATGCCAAATGAAACTGCAAAAGAGTT